GGCAGCAAGAGAAAGAGGCTGGGTGGGGCATGCCAGTGCTGGTCAAGCACCTCTTGCAGTGAGACACCCCACAGTGCCCCCACCCATGTCCTAGGATCCCTGTGCAACAAAAGGACAGGGGTCAGTTCTGAGGCTGGGGAGGAGAAGTCAGTTTGGGCAGAAGTCTGGGTGCTCTAAGGGAGGACAGCACTCAGAGACAACTGTCCTACAAGTTCAGACACTCCTAAGTAGCTGGTGAAAATGCCCAGGATTCCCCGTCTGCTAATTAAGATTCCGAGTGTGGCCTAGTTAGGATTTTGGAGTTTTTAGGGATGTAGGAACTCAGGCATCCCCTGAGGTCAGGCATGCAACAGTAGTGGCAGGCTGAGGTTGTAGCTCAGTGGAACAGCACTATCCTAGCATGTGTGAGCACTGAGCTCAATTCTCAGCACCACATAGAAACAAATAACAACAAGTTCCATCAACAACTAAAAAATATTTTAAAAATAAGTAGTAGTCACCAATACCCTTTCCATTCTTAAGGACCTTGGCTCTGCAAATAACAGGAGGTCACAACCTTAAGCTAGGTAGTCACTCTGACTTTCAAGTCAGTAGATTATCATTCACTTGGGATCCTGAGTGGCACAGTACTGGGGCAGCCAACATGTGGAAGAATCCTGGCCTGTCTGCACTTAGGGGATCAGTCTGTAGGAAAGATTCTGCAAGGTCAGAAAGTCACATTCCAGGTCCTAGAGTAGACCCAGGAAGTTCTCTGGACCTAGCTGGAATTCCACAGAAAGCAGCTTTACTGCCCCTTACACATCACACATGGCACAGGCCAAGTTGCTGGGACAGCTCTGAACTAAGACCAGCCTCCCTGGGGTGGGTCGAGCATGTTGTGGGCAACAGCACCTCAGGATCCTGAGGCCACTGCCCCACACGTATCACTGCCACCTCCCTTGGGCAGAGGTGGATCAAGGCTTAAACAATTTGAAAGAGGCTTCGTTAACAAAAGGATCACAATAATTCTCCACTTGCAAGTTATCCACGTAGATACCTATGACCCCAGGGACCTGGGAAGAACCATGAAGGTGGGGACTGTGGAGCTTAAGCAGGTCCAGATGACCCTATGCTGCCCTT